TAAACCCCTAAATCCCTAAACCCTGGACGAAGTTCGGGACTGAGGCCGCTTCTTCTGGCCTACAGCTGGATGCTGTCGTGGTGGCTGCCGCCACGTCCACGGACTCTACCCAGAGGCTCCAGTGTAGTTCCTTTTTGGGTTCGTTATGGTCTTTGGGTATGGAGTTATAGTATACTATCCACAAAGGAACTACATAGGAGCCCTTGGGTAGCAGCCAGGGCTCACAGCGACTCCGGCTGCAAGTTTCGAGGGTTTGGGGGTTAACGGACGCACTGTCTTATAATGTCACGATTGCACTACGAGGAGTAGCTATGACCTCTTTGACATACATTCGAAAGTCCGTCAAGTGCTATTACAATGACAACTGCAACAAATGTATGCATGTATGTATGTATGTATGTATGTATGTATGTATGTATGTATGTATGTATGTATATACACATAATGATGCATGTAGGCATCAAGATGTTTACGCACACTCACAAGTGTGCAGATATATATCTTTTTTGTATTGAACTTTCAAGCTGGTCATGGTTTCTACAGCCCTGCTAAGATGCATTGAGACCCTAAACCCTGAACCCCTAAACCCCTCAACCCTTATAAACCCTAAACCCTAACCCCCAGACCCTAAACCCTCAACCCATAAACCCTCAAACCCTAACCCCCAAGCCCTAAACCCTAAACCCAGAACTTTGGAGGTGGCAAGCAGCGTGCGCACTTCTGGAGGGTGCCTGTGGCAGACGGCTAAGATGCGACCTGGTCCCCCGGCATTTTTGGGGGTTTAGGGTTAAGGGTTTGGGGCTTTGGGTTTAGGGTTTAGGGCTTTGGGTTTAGGGTTCAGGGTTGGTTCTGGAGGGTTTCGGAGGGCAGAAGGCCGTGGCAATGCAGGAATTCCGGTGGCGCTGCCGGTTCCGACAAGGGCTGTCTTGTTTGTTTTCGTGAAGGTGCTGCGCAATTCGGAACGACATTCCCTCAGAAGTCCCCACAAATTTATATACTACACTACACGATCATAAGACGCGCCAAACTCGTATTCTATTTTTTCTGGCCTCTACTAGTCTATAAGCCATCAGTTAATACATGCATCTGATTTCGACCGCCCTGGACCATCGCAGACCTAGGGGATCAAGGGTTGCAGACTCCAGACACAACACACCCTCACCACAACCACCAAACGAATGAACTTCGAGGCTACATGGATACCGGCACACATCAAAACGTTGAGGCTATGCGGTCGTAAGTTTCAACCCCTAAGGCCGAATGCCTTTCCTTGATGTGGTGTCCCCTAGCTTAGACTGTCCTCTAATCATAATCCCTTGCCTTCGTTCAACGCAGCCAGTAGACCGGCTGGAACCTGATCATAACCCCTGTTTGTACAGGGTCCTAAATCATCAGGTCTTGTTCAAGGTCTTGTTTAAGACCCTCGGAGAAGCTGTTTCTCGTGGCAGAAGGCCAGAAACCCCGAACTCTGAACCCCTGTTGTGCATGCTAAAACCCTACAACACTGTAGCATTCTCGAAAATCCCATAACACCCCTGTAAAACCCGATACAAGCTGATGGAACCTGACAAAACCCTGTAAACTCCTCAAAGGCCGACCCAAACCCGAGAGCACAGACCCAGAGAGCCCAATACTCCTTAAATAAGGAACATACCTTAAATTATAGGGGCCTTAATCTTGTGATTTAAGCCATATTCCTTAATTAAGGGGTATCGGGCTCTCTGGGGAGGCTCTGCTTCGCACGTCCATCTCGGCGGTTGGCGCAGGCCCGGCACTTTGAGTTTAGGGTTTAGGGTTTAGGGTTTGGGGTTTAGGGTTTAGGGTTTGGGGTTTAGGGTTTAGGGTTCACCGAGACTACAAGAGCCAGTGTTTGAGAAAGGTACCTAGATCCCTGCTTGACAAACTCCCTTTCTTTAAGTGCCTTATCAGCATTTCTTTAAGGCTAGGCCATATATCCTTAGGATAGGTATAGTATAATGGGCCCCAAAACCCTATTCTAATTTGCAAGGCCGTATATATCATACCCTTATAGAGCCCTTATGATACAAACGACCCTTATAGTAACCCTTTAGAGTAACCCTATTCTGACGATTAAGGCCCCTACATTACTACCCTGCTCAAACCCTCTGAACCCCAAGCCGAAGCTAAACCCTAAACCCAAATTCGAAGCTAGGATCCGCCACAAACACTCGCTGAACCACACGGCCATAGAACCGCAGCCCTTGTGAAGCTCCTGGCTTTAGGGTTTAGGGTGTAGGGCCCTAGGGAAGCCCGATACAGGCCTTGTGAAGCGAGATCTAAACCCTGAACCCTAAACCCTGAACCCTAAACCTTAAACCCTGAACCCTAAACCCTAAAACCCTAAACCCTAAACCTCAAACCCTAAATCCCTAAACCCTGAACCCTGAACCCTGAACCCCAAACCCCAAACCCACCTGAACCTGCACCTGAAAGGTTGGCTCTGGCAGCGCGCCCTGGGCCGATTCTGCGCCGACGCCGCGCTTTCAAAGGTTCATCTGCCCTTTTTTGGGTTTAGGGTTTAGGGTTTAGGGGGTTAAGGTTCATCTGCCCATTTTAGGGTTTAGGGTTTTAGGGGGTTAAGGTTCATCTGCCCATTTTGGGGTTTAGGGTTTAGGGGGTTAAGGTTCATCTGCCAGTTTTTGGGTTTAGGGTTTAGGGTTCATCTGCCAGTTTTTCTGGGTGGTTTTAAGGTTGTTCTCGGTTGGCTTGATGAGTTTCGTGTGGAGAGGGTTTTTGCGGTGTATATAGGGGCCTTAGTCATCACCTATACTAGTTTCGGGGGTTCCTTATTAGACCCAAAGCGCTCGCCTTCGCATCGCTTTAGCTGCTCCGGTGAAGCGATGCAGATCTCAAATTTGTTGGAGGGGTTCGCCTTATAGATAGATGGTATGGTCGGCAAATGGATCTAGTGAATCTAGTGCTACTGGCATCAACACTTAATGTCAAGACGAGCAACCATAATTTCATGATTCGTGATTCTCTAGTGGCCTATCAAACCCTTGCAATACCCTTCTGGAAACCTTCAGAATCCGTAGAGCCCCTAAGACGCCCAAGGACCTAGGAAAGCCGTCACGACTCGGCGGAACCCATCTCAGCCTCAGAAGCACCAACCTAAACCCTAAAACCCAAAACCCCAACCTAGGCGAAGGTCGTGAAGCGATACGAGACTCAAAAAGCCGGAAAGCCGACACTCTGAATGAGCATGAAAGCTTCAGGCAACAGGCCGCGAAAACCTGGCCTAAACCATAAACCTTAGAAACTCTAAACCCTTATAGGACTTGGTACAATCTCGAAACCCGCAGAAATCCCTGATTCCTGAATTGCTTCACCTATACCGTCCTCCAGGACGACCTCGCTTTGGAAGCCGCCCTCCGCCCCTGCCAGGCTGAAACCGCTTTTGGGCTAGAGGATCCAGGGTGCAGGGTTTATAGGGCTTAGGGTTTATAGGGTTTAGGGTTTAGGGTTTAGGGTTTAGGGAGGGTTTAGGGTAAAGGGTCCGGGATTTAGGGTTTACGGTGGGTATAGCAGATAGAGATTTTGACGGGAATAGGATCCAGGCACGTGCATAATCTCCCTAACTTTTGGCTCTAGGGGTTTGGAGCGGTCTTTGGCTTAGAGTAGGGGAGCTTTCAGTTCGAGCTGTCCGTTCTTGGGTGTGGGGCCTTCGAAATTGGAGGAGGCAAAAGTCGGCGCGAAGATGTCAGGGTCTGTGTCTTCCAACCATTAGGGTCTCAGTGCTGAGGGTTTAGGATGCTGTGGCTGGGAGTTTTCCTCAGTTCCCCAAACCTTTGAAAACCTTTTTGGGTTCTTCCTTATAGTTTGTTTAGTAATCTGCAAGTTGCAGATTACTATTGAACTATGAGGAAGAACCCAAAAAGTTTTAAAGGTTTGGGGAACTGAGGAAAACTCCCATTTAACCTTTTATGTTCCTGTAAAGCTTGAGCCGAGATCCCAAGCGTCTCTCAAGCCTAGATCTGCTGCTCCGGCTTCTTGGGGAAGTGGGAGTTTCCGAAAATAGGGGGCGCTAGTATAGTACCCTAAACAGTAGGATCCTCTTATAAGGGACCCCAAAATAAGGTACCCCCTATTTCCGGAAACTCCCCCGTAAGTTTCTAACACCGACGACCCTCGTGGGAGAGCTCTGGGATGCTGGGTGCCGTGGCCCCCGAGCCCCCACATCTCAATCTTCTTTGCTATCATGGTAAGCTAATACACAGTCACTAGGTTCATGGCTCATGACAGGTTTAGGGCTTATAGGGTTTAGGGTGTAGGTCTAGGGTTTAGGGTTTGACAAAATCGCAGCACCAGGGTTCCCCACTAGTACCCTTTTGCCTTTTGTTTTTTTTTGGGGGGTCCCTTAATAAAACCCAAGAGTCGGAAAAAGGGCACCCTTATGATGTAGGGGCTATTGGGGAACCGAGTTCATAGTCCCCGATACTGATAAGAATGGTACAGAAATAATAAGTATAAGCAATTCTTGTGATGATCAGACCCCTTAAACTTCGTTCAACAGCCTAATCGAAGCACAGAAGGCACTAACCGCTATCAGTCCCCAGCGCTACCCACAGGCTCCATAGTAGTTCTTTTTTGGGATAACCTTAGAGGATCCTGCATATGGAGCCTATGGGTAGGGTTTAGGGTTCAGGGTTTAGGGTTTAGGGTTTAGGGTTTAGGGTTTAGGGTTTAGGGTTTAGGGTAGCCCACAAACCCCTTATAGAATCCTCAGAAGACCCTATCGAAGCCTTCACGTTTAGAACCCTTGTAGTACCCCAATAGAACCTTACAGTGTCCCTGTAGGACCCTTATAGTACCCCTTATAGAACCGCTATAGTCCCGTAGTTGTAGCACCCTTCTCGAACCCTTATCAATAATCTAGGGGCCTCAATAATTACCTATATTATTTCAGGGGTTCCTGATTAGAATCATACTATAGCGGACCCCAATACCCTATTCTAATTATCAGTGCCGTTCTGCAAGACCTCATCAGAAGCTGCGCGGAGGTGACTATAGGTTTCGGGGTTAGGGTCTTCCCACGTAGTGTATTAAGGCCACTACATTGTAAGTATACTAGAAAGGACCCCAAAACCCTATTCTAATGATTGAGGCCGCTATACCCTAAACCCTTATAGTAGCCATTATAGAACCCTTTAGGGAACCGTTTAAAGGAACTCCCAAAACCCTATTCTAATTACATTAGCCCTTGTTGAGTCCTGTAGCCAGGCCTAAACCCTAAACCCTAAACCCTATACCCTAAACCCTAGGCCGCTGGCGCTTGGGCGCAGGCGCTGGCGCTGCTGCCGCCAAGGTCGCAGCTGGGAGCTGCCACCGTGGTGCTTTGGAGCACTTGAACCCCCTGTTAGGGTTTAGGGCTTAGGGTTCAGGGTTTAGGGTTTAGGGTTTAGGACATGTTTGGAGATCTTTTTGCCTTCGCACAAGTCCTGAAAAGGGTAGGTTTTTGGCTGTTGCGGAGTTGCGAGAACGACTAGACTTTGGTTCCCGTTTACGTGGTGCATCGTTGTGTACAGTGTTGTTACGCAGGGACTACAAAAGGGGATGTAGCCCTACTTGGAGGGTCGAGGGACTTGGTAACTAGGTTACAAGGATCATAACCCCAGTTCAGGACCCCTTTCGGGGTACTTATAAGTCTACCTATGACCCACTTACTCAGTCCCCAACCCTCCAAGGAACCTCTTTGGATTCCCAGCCAGAAGCTTCTTGATCCTAAGCCCTAAACCCTAAACCCTAAGCCCTCCAAGCTCGGTAAACTTGTGCCTGGAAGTCCGAAATCCCAGCCCCAAAGTCGGAAATCCTAAACCACCATGACCATGAGCCCTATGAGCCCATCAACTCATAAACCCTAAACCCGAAACCCATCAACCCAGAAACCCCAAACCCCTGAAGCCATAAACCCATCAACCCAGAAACCCATAAACCCCTGAAGCCATAAACCCATAAACCCTAAACCCCTGAAGCCATCAACCCATAAACCCATAAACCCTAAACCCATCAACCCGTAAACCTTAAACCCATAAACCCATGAACCCCAAACCCGAAACCCATCAACCCATACTAAACCAGTGAAGCCATAAACCCACAAGGCCTAGACCTCTGCAACCCTGAAGCTCCACCAACCCTACGTTCTTTTAGCCCGAAGCCTTTCAGGCCCCTGTACAAAAAGGGTCCTATGTACCTATATGATTTAGGTTTAAGGTTTAGGGGTTTAGGGTTTTAGGGTTTTAGGGTTTAGGGGTTTAGGGTTTAGGGTTTGGAATTTGGGGTTTCTACATTAGAAATTTCTGGTATGATTTAGCGTCCAGTCCTCCCATGACGGTACATGGTTCTCTTTGGGATAGAATGCTTATAGTTGAGAGTTTGGGATCAAAACCCTTTGGGGATCCCTGTGGAACACCTAGGTGCTGGAGGCCATGGAGCAACTTGGCGGATATGGGAGAGTAATATGGGCTCAGGTAGGGGTCCTTAAGACTGCAGTTGTGATACGGTTGATGACATAAATCCTGCAGTATTCAGGAATCCCAGAAATATACCAGAATTCCCATAGCATGGGCTCCTTAAGGTAATGCAGGATTTTTTATCATCAATAGTATTCGTGGATGTAGGCACGACCATGGAGGCCAGGGCCTGAGGCTCCGTGTCTGCTAGGCTGGGGGTTTCCGGTCGGTATTTAGTCAGAGGAGGCTCTTCGGAGCCCATCTTCAATCTAGGCATAGGCTCCATAGTAGTTCCTTTTTTGTGGTCTATATTTAGGATCCTATGAGGTAATCCTAAAAAGGAGCTACTATGGAGCCTATGGGTAGAGCCGTACATCTGCCAAAATTACAAAAAGTTGCCCAGCTTCGGGAATTGCCACAATGCCCATGCCCTGTGCCTGAGACTGAAAGCCCTCGCGAACAGCTCGCCACAGACCTATACTACAAGAGTTCAACGCAACTGCATGCACCTTGAGTATCCTGGAATCCTGAACGGGCTAGGGCTCAAGCTGGGGCTCAGGGGCAGCCTCGTGTTGCCGGCGACTTCTCAACAGATGCCTACACCTTCTCTTGGTGGTCGGGAGCCACCCGTCCACAAAGTTGCGGCAGATCCGAGGGCTGCCGCAACTTCTGATTCCGATTTCTACACAGCCTGGTGTCGAATGTACTCGTACGAGCTCTTCACGCCGATGACCAGCGAGGTCTCCACGGTGTGGGATGCCGGCTTCTTTCACCCACCCCCTCCTCCGCCCCCTCCGCCCCCGCGCCGACGTTCCGCTGTACTCTGGGACGTTGCCGCCACTGTGCCGCTAGAGCGGCCCGAGAACGGCTCCGAGCTGCATTGGACCAATCCTTACGGGCCAGATCCGCCGGCAGAGGTGGCACCTCC